CAGCCTTCATGCACAGAAGGTCACATCAAAAATGAGCATGTTACATTTGAACCAGATGGTGGGAAGAATTACCTGGCCCAAATGATCCAGGGTCTGATCACTTTCATATTTTTAATACAAATATTCTCAGCCTACTCTCCTGAGGCAGGGAAATGCATTATTCCCATTTTGAGTTAAAGAAAAAGGGGGAGGGGGGGAGGTAAGTGGCTTGCCTAAAATGATATGGGGAGCGTGTGACAGAAAGTGATACTGAATTGTTGGCTAACACCAAACCATCTTTCTCAGCTTTTAGAGACAACAGCTATATCCAGCCCCCTTTATTTATTTCTCTAAGCCATCATGCCAAAACCTCTGCTAAATTAGAGAGTGGGACTGAAGGAAAGCTTTCAGTGGATTGCTTTTCTCCATAAATGGAAATATCACAAATCATTCTGGGAAAACAGGTCTTTCTGTTCTCATCCCTCTTTGTCTGCTTCTCTCCTTTTGGATGTCTTTTCCTCTGCCTCTGGCTCTCAGTTTTCAGATGTATGGTCCTGACCATTTAAAAGTGTTCCTACCTCGCAGGAAGGGAGTAGCTTTTCATTCTTTGGAACTTACTATTTTGCAATGGATTGCACTCTGCAGGCAAGCAAGACTTCTGAAAGAGAGAGGGCTGCACAAAGCGGCATAAAAATAAACTGTATCACCAACAATACGGAGCTGGGTTCTCATCAGGGGTAGCTCAGTCTGAGTATTGCTGCAGCAGGGCTGGCGGCTGCCAGCTGTCCTGGATAGACAGCTTATACCCAAACAATGATCCTGCCACACTGGAGGAGGTCTCTCTCAGAGATGAACACACAGTTGACGCTGAATTTCATCTTAGACATTTAGTCCCTCTTGGCAGTATGAGAGATTGCTCTTAATGACCCAAGTGGGCAACTTCTCTCCTTGGCCAGGCACTGGAGGGGTGCCTACTGCACCAGTCCTGGCTCTTCTAAACTGCATTTTACACAGCTGGGGCAGGCAACAAGCAAACGGTGGTGATCTTCCCTAACGACTCCCAGTAACACACAAGGGATGTGGAGATTGCTCTGTGCTTTTCCATGGACCTGGGCATCTGCAGCCTTCCTTTCTGAGACAGGCTGATGCTCATCCCTGCCTTCTTTGCAGCCTGCACACCCAAAGCAGGCTGTTCAGTGGGTGCCCACACTAATACATCAGAGAGAGGGAGGTGGCTGTCATGAGTGAGAGGGACTGAGAAATAGGAGAAAAATCTGATGGGTCAACATGAGCAAGGATGAGAGGAGTGCCCAAACTGCAGTGGGAGAGCTACAGGGAGGAGGAGGAAGCATGTGGCTTAAGTGTCTCAGAGAGGCGTATGGGAGAAGACAGAGATACATGCCTTGTTTCAAGGGTCATAGCATGAAATACCTTGAGTTGGGAAGAATGTGAAGGACAAAGGGACTCAAGTAGAGAGTTATTCTTACCTCCTTGGGGGCTTCTCAGAGCCCTACATGCCCTCCCACATAATGATTTGATCTTGCTCAGACATTCAGGAGTGTTAACTGTAGGGTGGGACACGGCTCTCACCCTCCCTGGCTCCACAGACCACACGTGCAGCACAAGAAAAGGCTGTTGTGTCAGACCTCAGCAGCACTGCTGAGCTGCTCCATCCCCCCTCTGTGCTTCCACCAGCACAGGTGCCAGGGAAGCTGCTGTACCATCTCAGCAGGCCACAGATGTCAGTCAGAGAATTGCCGAGTGACCTTGGCACAAGAAGTGACATCGAGGCCTTCCCCACACCAAGCGGGTTTCTGAACCGCTGCCATCCTTCACTCCCTCACTCTGTGCACTTTGGGAGCCGCTGGCACCAGCACACCCACACCATGCCCTGTTTAACACGTCCCCGTACGGCACCAGGCAGCGGAGCGCTGTCACCCCCATTTTACAGGGTGGGACTCTGAGGCAGAGAGAAGTGGTTTTAACAGCACGCCTGTGGCAGAGCAAAAACTGAATCTTGTTCTCTTATGTTCCCAGTTAGCGCATTAATGACCTAAATTCTGCATCCTTTCCCCATCCATCGCCCAGAGGAGCTAGGAGGCATTGGAGGAGAGGGTGTGGTAGCACAGGCAAACAGTCAGCATCCAAACCCACAGCACTCTGCGCTGAGCACAGACAAAGCAGGGGCTAAAGTGGGACCCACACTACCCTCATCAACCTGGCAGGGTTGATCCAGGGAGGGGAATCAACCTGGCACAGCATATGAGCCTGTGGAGAAGGGCATCTCCACAATGTCACAGCATTTTAAGCAAGCCAAGGCTGGACACTCCAATGGCCAAGTACCCTGCGGAGCCAGGTCAGCAAAGCCTTTGGGACACTGAGCACCAGGAGCAGATTTTCAAAGAGCCTCCATATCCCCTCAGCCTGCCTAAGCGGCTGAACCTCTAACCAGCTATCCCACGCAAGTCCATATAAAAGACAGCCTGCACCAGATGCAGCATCTTCCCCAGGCAGCTCAATTCTTTACATAGGAATTAATCAGCCTCAAATTCAGCAAGAAACAGAGCGGGGGAGAGAGAGAAAAAAAGGAAGCAGGGAAAGGATGTCACACGGTGAGGGGGTTTCCAGATGCACTGCGTCTTCCCTCCCTGGCTGATTCCAACTGGGAGGCTCCGGCTGTGTGCCAGGAACATCACCTGGGAGGTGTATGCAGGTTCTGCCTGCTCCCCCAGCATGTACGGGCAGGAGGAACTCAGTGTTCAGGATCTGCTGGGCAAGGAACTGAAATCTGAAGCTGGAGACCTCCCCAGTGCCCCGGAGTGTGCCCGTGTTCACATGCACTGTACAGCAGCGACAGCAGCCAAAGGACCAGGATGAGGAGCTGCTCATCTGTCACAGGCAGATGGCCCCAGGCAGTGAGGGACAAGCAAGGGAAAGGACCCCCCTCATGCTGTATCTGCCTGCCTCATAGGGATTTTAGTGGGTAAGTAGCAGGGTGGAAGTGTGCCAGGGCAATTTACTTGGCTATGAAGCTTTCCTTCCAGAAGAGCCATGGCTGAGAAGCAGACACTTTTTGAACAAGCTAACTGGATTGAGGATGGGTGATTAATAACATTTCATAACCCATAGTTTCAGTGTGGGAATAGTGTGGCAGAGCTACACAGAGAGGCTTTGTTCCTACTTTATTATCCTATTACTTACCTCTTAATGTGCATACACTCCTCTCTGCTGTCTCCAGTCTCTTCATGCAAGCTCTTTGAATGAGTAGCTAAATGCAATAGGTACCTTGGAGGCATCAGACACAAGCCAGATGGATGCAGAAGAAGCCAAACTCGGGGGTAGACCTAAAGGAACCCACCTACCTGCCTTCCATTGACTCAGATATTTACTCAGGACTGCCTCCCAAAGCATCCCAAACGTTAATCCATCAAAGGCTGGCCTCAAGAAGCAACTCACAGAGAATCCTTTGAGCTTGGGCCCTCTCCATGTGTTCACAAATATCTGAAAGATCATTCAAATTCATCTGGAATAGACCTTTCAAACATGACCTGGGGACCTGACATGGTGACTGCAGGTCTCATCCTGGGTAGGTTTGGTCTGGAAGAGCTCTGTTGCTCTTCCCAGAGGCAACAACCTCAAATGTGGTGGCTTCATTTTCCCCTTGCCCTTCACACCCAGCTGGTCCAGAAGCCGGGTTCAGGGTCGGGGTGGCAGGAGGCTTATCCAGGCTGCCACAGCAACCAGGGCTCCAAATGCTTCTGCTGAGGGACCAGTGAGCCTGAACCACTTTGTTGGTGAGGAGGCCCAGGGGATCACCATGCCTACCCACGCACCTCATGCAGACAATGTATTTCTCCTTTCTGGACAGACTGTGTGCATCAGTTCTGTGCTAATGGCCAATCAGTGCAAGTGTCCAGAGCGAAATGGAATGGAGGGTGGGAGAAAAAATTTGTGGAAACCCCAGGAGACATAATGAAATTGTCTTTCACATGGTCAACCCTGTACAAGAATGGACAACCTGATCATTTGAGATACTAATTAATCAGTGGTTATGGTGAAAATTATTATGTGGCTTGAGGAGTACCTCTCTAGAGTGGTATTCCTGATGTCAAGAGGAGATATGAGTGATGAAAATAAGAGCCTGGTAGATATCCCAGATAACGAAAGTCTTGGAAGATGTCACTGGCCCCCTGCTGGGATGGTCTTGGTGGTCATGGAGTGTGTGAAAAAGGGTGCCCCATGACTGAAACTGGCAGAAGGCCCCGTACATACACCAGCCTGATGGAACTGTGTCCAGCCCAGCTTCCCCCACTTATGGCGGAAGATTCTGCTCCCCCAGCACCAGGGTGTTTTGCTGTTGAGCTGCATACACACACTCGCACCGAGCTTCTTGTAGCCTCAGTCTGTGAGAGGGCACAAGAGCAGGCCTGACAAAGGCACGAACAAACAAGCAGTCATACGGAGAAAGTAGATTAAGGGCTTTTGTTCTAACACCGAACCAGAACAAAAGGATGTATCCTGCCCATGGAATTACAGGGCAGCAAATTCACAGCTGAGAGAAACACTTTTGCGACCCACACCTAATTATCCTGCCCTGATCCCCTCACTGCTGGGATGCAGGCAGGCCACGCCAGGGGAAACACTGAGGTGTGACGATGTAACTCACAGCTACGCCTGTCGATGCTGAGGGAGGGGACGCTGACACCTGTGCTTTGCCCGGTACCTGGCTCCCGTTCCCATCCCGCCTCCCTCCGAGGCGAGCAGCTCTCCCCTTGTCTGCGGCAGGAGTCACGGAGCTTCTGGGGCTCTCCTCTGCGGAAGGAGGCGGGCTGGGCTGGCTGGGTCCTGACAGCAAACCCACATTCCTGTGCAAATGCATGTGCAAGGAGAGGCCCGGGCATTTCCCGGGCATGCTGCCTGGGAGGAAGGCAGGCGGGCACAAAAGGTGATGCAGAGGGCAGCTGTTCCTGCAAGGCAGGTTTTGGTGTTCTCATTTGTTCTTTTTTTCTCTTGTTCCCTAGGGAATTTTAAAGGTCTGTGTAAGCAAATCGATCACTTCCCTGAGGATGCAGATTATGAAGCCGATACAGCAGAATATTTCCTCCGTAAGTCCGCAGGCTCTTTGTGCAATGGCTCGTAGGTGCTAGCGTCGGGCGCCTTTTGTTTTCTGAACACAGGGTGGTGAGACACTGGGACCTGTGAGGCTCAGTGGAAACCCCAGAGCCTCATCACCCCCTAAAAATGACTCCACTCTCACCTCCCAGGGGCTCTGCCCATGAGACAGTGCAAATTTGAGCTCACAGTAACAACTGATGGCATTTTTTTTATTAGCAGTGATTAATTGTGATATAAAATCAGAGTCTTAATTCAAATCCACTGAAAAGCTGCTGATTGGGCCTAAGGTCAGACCAGCCTAGCGTGTGTGTGTGAGAGTGCACGTCCTCCTAAAGCAGAGAAAGTTTATATTTCCTTATCTGACACTCCAGTGGCACCAGACTTAAGAAATTAGCTGGATTTTGTCTGAGGAGCTCTTATTGCTGTCTTCACCTTTCCCCAAACACTGCTTCCCTACAGAGGCTGCAGGTCTGATCTTTGCTGGTTTTAGTGATGGGAGCAGGCAGCAGGAATAAGGACAGCCAGAGCCCTTTGAAGGAAAGCCTGGTGCTCACCCAGAGCCCCTAGGAGAGGTGCTGAACCCAAGGCATAAGGCGTGTCTGTAATGAACCCTAGCCTGAGCTCCAAGTCCAGCCTGAGATGTGTGAGTGAAGCTCACACTGCTTTGTGCAGCAGCACCCTGGCCAGCAGGACAGATCCACATCATGCATTACCCTGCCTGGCTGCCCTCTCCAGCCAGCATTTCCACCCCAGAGGCAGGTGCTTACTCTTCATTTAGCACAGCTGAACAGGGAACACTCCTTTTAGGTCTCCACCTTGCTCTCCTGCCCTCCCTCCACAAGCCCAACGTCTTTTGACATCATGAGATCTTCTCCCAACAGAAATTTGAGATAAGTGCTTTTGACCTTCCAAGGTTAATCATCAGAGGCTTCCAAAGACCGGGAGTCTTTCAGAATAGCTCCTTGTCATCCGGGTGTGCTCCAAGCCAGATGTGGAAACCCAGCCCTGCGGCAGGGATGAGAGAGATAATTTCGGATCTGTGAGGCTCATTTGTATGTGAAAAGAGGCAGATCTTATGCTGCTTCCTCTTGGTTTCTCAAACAGTCCTTCATCCACTGTAAATTGTAAATAACCAAGGGAGATTGCTTCTTTCAGCTGCCTTTCTGCAGCACCGGTCTCTTAATTGCTGCACAGCCCCTGAACAGCAGAGCTGAACACAGAGGTTTGATCCAGTTTGGCACAGGGATGCCAAAGGTTTGCAGGCTGCCTCCGAGGGCAAATCAGCCTTTGCAGAGCTGCTTGAGAGCAAGGAGGCTGCTTGCAGCATCAATTGCACTTCAGAAAAAAGAGTTTGGGGAAGGGGCCAAACATCACAAGAAGGATGGGTTTGTTCCCTCAGAGAGAACAAGATCTGAAGACAAAAATTGGCCCAATGTCAGGACCCGACAGTGTCCCCAGGGTAGAGCCCTTTTTAAGAAAGAACCAGGTTCAAAGAGGGATTTGGCAAGTCAATAAAGGATTATCTGGGTCATTCCTGAGGGAAATGAGATTTCTGCTGGCTTAGACCTGCCTAGAGAAGGACCCCATTGAACAGCTTCTTGCCAGGACTTCAGTCAAACCGGAGTCCCTGGGTGCTCTGCATGGGCAATGCCTGGCGGTGCCATCAGGAACAGCTAGGAAGTTGTTTATCTGTATCAGAGTAGGCAATTCCCTCATGCCCCAGGGGACAAGGACAATCACAGGGCAGTGTACATGGCCTGGCTAGAAGCGTTTAGCCATTATTTCTGCCAGCCATCCACATAAGGTGTCTTAGGATTTCTGAAATCAAATGCCTGTTATCAGAGAGGAAGCAGAAGCATCCCTGTGTTTCCTTGCTAGCAGACACAGGTGAGTTTAAGGAGCATACGCCACCAGCCCTTTTTCTTTAGGCCACAGGCTCTGGAGCCAGGAAGGCTGGATGATATTTTCCTCCTCTCTTGCTGGCATGGTCCTCCTGAAAGGCTGAGGAAGGCTGCTGTCCTTCTCCATCACATGACAGCTGCAGCTTCCCATGTCAGTCAGCAAATTTGTTCTCCCCACAGATGTGAATTTCAGAATTAAGACACAGATAAAACTGATGTGTTCAGGACCAGGTTGCAGGACTGACCAAGCATCCCCCTAGAAAGCCTCTCAACAGTGGGTGTCTGCTTGATGTTTGCTTCCTGTCATTTAAGCTTCCCATCGTCAAATGCCACTTTGTTTTCCAGAAGCTATCAAGATGCTTATTAGTGTTATCCTGTTCCCTGAAACACAGCCAGGCAGACCTGGAAAGCAAGCAAGAGTGGTTTCTCCCTGCCTTCTGCATTCCCCATGCACAAGCAGTGGGCTAGGCCCCCTTCAATGAGCTCATTGCTTGTGCCTAGCTGGATCCAGAGGCCAACGGTGTCTTTGAAGCGGGGACTCTGCTCACTTCGGAAAAAGTCCTGCATTTGCTTCATTGGGTTCATTCTTGCAGGCAAGGAAGGATTAGCTTTCATCCCCCCCTCCAGATCTTTGCTCCACAAGCAAAATTGCACCAGCCTGTCTGATACCTTTCTTTATCAAGCAAGGCTTCATTTCACACTTTAACAGCTTATTTTCTCTTGTGAAGGGAGGAGAGAGGCCTTCCTAGTTAAAAAAAAAATAGGAATATTCGCAAGGCAGACTCAGGCAGAGCGCTGGCTCCCACCGAGCCGCCCACGAGTGGTGTGTGCGTGCGTGCCTGCGTGTGTGGGTGTGCGTACACACAGACTTGGCCTTTCGCTGTGGGAACACGAGTCAGGCCCCCAGAAGCTTTGGGGTATGTTTTGCATGCACACACGAGCATATACGTGCATCTGTGCATCTATGCCATTGCCCTCTGCTGGCTGAGCTCTCCCCGTATCGACCGATGGAGAGTGTGTGTGTGTGGGAGCTGGCACATCCGAACCATCACTGCCCTCTGGAAGCAGCCCAGTCATTTAATCACTAGTTTAAGCCCCGCATTTCAGCACACAGGGCTGGGACTGTTTCTTCTCAGTCCTCACTGCAGCTGCAGAGCAGTGCATGGCACCACGAGCTCCTTCTCAGCCCTAAAAAAAAAAAAAAAATCTCCTTGAGATGCTCATGCCCTTTTGGGAGGATTCAAGATTGAGCAGCTCTGCAGGAAGCATTTGGGTTGCTGTTCTTTGAAGTGCAGGCTTGAGCAGCAGAGCGCTGCAGAAGGAGAAGCTGAGTGGTGCCTGGGCTCCCCCTCCAGCCCACAGTCCCCCCAAAAACAGAGGAAAAAACAGTGTGAGGGGGCACATACAATGCAGGTAGACTCCCAGCCCAGCCACCAGCCCCACAGCCCCCTCTGCCTCCCCATGCTGAACCACCAGCTTTGTGGCCAGGGCATGGGAGAGTTGCTTCAGACCACTATCTTTTTCTGACATGCTTTGTTTCTCTCTCCCTCTCTCCCTCCTTCCTTCCCTCCATCCCCCAATGCTTTTATCTCTCCTTAAATTACTCCCCTACTGCACATTGCCCTCTGTCTCTCCCCTTCACCCCCACCCACTAAATGTGCTCGCGTGTCCCCGTCCCCTCACTCTGGTGCCGTTTCCATGCCCCTTTTTCCTCTCTCTCACACCTGTGTTGTTCTTTCTGTCCCGCCCTCCCTCTCTCCTCTGCAGGGGCTGTTAGAGCCTCTAGTATTTTCCCGATCCTGAGTGTGATTCTGCTTTTCATGGGTGGACTCTGCATTGCAGCCAGCGAGTTCTACAAAACCCGACACAACATCATCCTTAGTGCCGGCATCTTCTTCGTGTCTGCAGGTAAAGGGGTGCACAGGGCCTCATGCCCCAGGGGTGGGCTCCAGGGGTTGGGGGGGTGCCTAGCCAGGACATTGGGGTACAGTTGTCTAGGCAGGAGTGTGTGCATTTCCCAACCCTGATTAAGTCTCATTTGGGCTGAAAGCAGCATCACAAGGATGCCTCTCCATCCTGCCTGCTCGCCCAGCAGAGGCAAGCAGCCAGGGGCTTTCCTCCTGCTTGGGAGCTGACGGAGGGAGAGTTTCCCTGACATCTGACATCTCTCAGGGACCAGGAATGCAGTCCAGGGAAGTGGCAGGCACATGAGGAGGGTTTTGCCTGAGTTTCCCAAGGCAAACTGCCTATCCAGGAGAGGATTCAACCCCACAGCCCCCACCACTGCCATCTGTGACCTTCCTGACATCTCCTTCTCTCTCCCCGGCCGGATGGCTTGCAGGTCTGAGTAATATAATTGGCATCATCGTATACATATCAGCCAACGCTGGAGACCCCTCCAAGAGTGACTCCAAGAAGAACAGCTACTCCTACGGCTGGTCCTTCTATTTCGGGGCCCTGTCCTTCATTATAGCCGAGATGGTGGGAGTGCTGGCTGTCCACATGTTCATAGACCGGCACAAACAGCTGCGTGCCAACGCTCGTGCCACGGACTACCTCCAGTCCTCCGCCATCACCCGCATCCCCAGCTACCGGTACCGCTATCAGAGACGCAGTCGCTCCAGCTCCCGCTCCACCGAGCCTTCACACTCCAGGGATGCCTCTCCCGTCGGGATCAAAGGGTTCAACACCCTGCCATCAACAGAGATCTCGATGTACACCCTGACCAGGGACCCGCTGAAGGCAACCACCACCCCCACCGCCACCTACAACTCCGACAGGGATAACAGTTTCCTCCAGGTTCACAACTGTATCCAGAAAGAGAACAAGGACTCTATCCACACCAACACAGCCAACCGCCGGACCACCCCGGTATGAAGCCGTCGCCAGGAGCTGAAAATGGGGCAGGAACGGGCAGGAGGAGACGGGGGTGGGCTGCAGGGTGGGGAGGGTGGAAGGGGGCAGGGGGCAG